ATTCTATTATTGTTGTATTTATTTATTCAATTATTCATTTATCCATTTTTTTAAATTTTTCATTCATTTATTTATTCACATATAGATTCGTTCATTCATTGATTCATCGATATATTGATCATTCAGCCATTCATCGGCCTATACATTCATCAGCTCAGTCACTTATTCACTGAAACACTCCTTCGCTCGATAGCTCACTCATTCATTTACTCACTCACGAACAAACGTTCATCGATACATTCATCCACTTATGCACTCATTCACTCACCCTCTTTTCCAATTATTCACTCATCGACTTAGTAACTTACTCATTCACTCATTTTCTTACTCTCTCAAAGAGTCACTCACTCAAGAAAAAACCCTCACTTAATCACTTTAATATTCATTTTTTAAAAAATTATTCATTTACTCTTTATTTTCCTTTATTCGTATATTTATTTATTTACTTAATTTTGAAAATATATTTTTTTTAAATTTGTTCCTTTGTTTATTTTTCATTTTTTTTCCGTTCGTTTTTTCCCCGTTTGTTTATCCATTTATTTATATATCTGGTTTTCTATTATTCGTTTATTCACTAAATAATGTATTCGTTTATACGTTGTTTTTTTTAAATTTATTATTAGCTGCTATTGGCTATTATAGGCTTTGCTACAGTCATTAATAGCTATGTCTAAAGCTACGATGGACACAGCGACGTGTACACTTTGATATGATTCTAAACATTGACTTGCACATCACCGACCATTCATCAATAACACGGTTTGTTACACAAATATAATAAGCAATATACAATATATACAATATATACAATATACAATATACTCTATATCTGCTACAAAAATAAAAAGGTCACCAGTACCTGAAATAATGATAAATAACATGAACTGAATTTAAAAACCTAGCTTTAAGTCTTAAGAACTTTATAAATAAACTTATGGCAAAAATTAAACATCAATTTTAACCGGAATGTGGCATCCTTTCAGGGTCTAAACCTTACCTATCCCTACCCCAACCGGTAATTACCCCAGTTCAATTACCTCTTCTCAATTATATTTTGCGTAATTACTCCACTACAAAATACAAATTATACCAACTTATTATCAAAATCGTAGATCCGTATCAGCTTTTGAGTGATTTCCGATAACCGGAAGTGGTACTTTTAAAAATTTGAATTTTTCAAAAGCCTATAACTTGAGTACTATTTCATAGACATAAATGAAATTTCACATGTAAGTAAAAGATCTAATCATCTACCTTCTATCAAATTTTAAGTAATTTGCGTTGAACGTAAGTAGTAATTTACGCTATTTCCAATTTCTCAAAAAACGCATGTAAATTTATAAAGTACTAATAATATTGCGCACTATTACGCACATTTTATTTGGCGTTCACTGGTGTGCAATTCTTTTTTCTACGAGATTTTGTTCTATTTTAAAAAGTTTAAGTATTTAAAATGAATTAAAATTCATGTCTATATCCCGAATTCCCATCCCCTGTTTTTTTAATATAAGAATATTCGAGAAAGTTTAGGGGAGATCACTCCCGATTTATTTTTTGCATTTTAATTCATTTTTCTTTTATCCAAGTGTTTTCTTCGTCTTTTTTACTTTCTCGTATATACGAAGCATAGACAAAGTCTTGTAATCGTACAAAAAAAATTCGAGATTTTTGAAAATGTCGACGTTTTACAACTCACTGATACGGAAAAACATAATTTTGCAATCTTCCCCGTATGTCAGTGGGTATGTCTGTGTGTCTGTGTTTATGTTAACACGATAACTTGAGTACCGTTATAGCTAGGTTGATGAAATTTACTATATAATTATTCCATCAAAATCGTTGATCCGTATCAACTTTTGAGCGATTTCCGAAAACCAGAAGTGGCACTTTTTTGCTTTGAATTTTTCAAAAGCCTATAACTTGAGTACTATTTCAGATAGATAAATGAAATTTCACATGTAAGTAAAAGATCTAATCCTTCTATCAAATGTTGAGTAATTTTCGTTGAACGTAAGTAGTAATTTACGCTATTTCCGATTTCCGCATATAAGTTTGTAAAGTACTAATAATATTCCGCACTATTATGCACATTTTGTTTGGGCGTTCGCTTGGTGCGCAATTTTTTTTTCTACGAGATTCTATTCTATTTTTAAAACTTTAAGTAATTAAAAATCATGTATATATTCCGAGTTGCCATCCCATGTAGTGTAATATAAGAATACTAGCCATCGTTATTGGTCAAAACGCAATGTGCTTTACTACACGCTGAACGATATTAGCGACAAAGCAAAGAAATAACTAGTTAGCTAAAAATCCGACACATTTAACATAACACATGCACACACTGATTAAGTGACTTAAATGATTCCGTTAAAAAATGGCTATTCAATGGTATTCTTCTTGTTTTTAAAGTGAATTATTTTTATTAGGTTTGTATGTATAGATCTATAGATTTAATTGAAATAGTTCATTTCTTCATCGGTAACCATACCATATTAAATGCACTCGCTGATGAAGAGACTGAAAATTAAGAGACTTAAAAGATTTCTTAGTGGTCGGCGTGGTCGAGTCGGTAAAGCTCATGGTTGCTAAAACGAAAAGTCTCGAGTTCGAACCCTCGGGCAGATGATGCTCGTTAGCTGGGGACAGCCACTCTTCTAGGAGAGACAACTCCAAAATTAAACAACTGCTGCCTTGTAGTTTGTTCTTGATTGAACAAAGGCTATGGAAGCAAATCCAAAAAGAAAAGCAGGCTGAAATCGGAGTCAATGGCCTATATGGCGCATAACAAGTTGACACGTAACGCTTAATTGTGTTGGACGCGTGGTCAAGTCGGCAAAAAGCTCATGGTTGATAAATTCGAACAAAGTCTCGAGTTCAAACCCACTGGCAGATAAATCTCGATCCCCTTCAACACTAATAATTAAGAACGAAGAAGAAGAAGAAAGAAAAGATTTCTTTAAAAACCCGGCTTTTCAATAGTAGTTATGTTGTTTGTGTCTTTTGAAAACACATATTTCGGCTGAGTAGATCTAGAATCTCTAGATCTAGAATCCAAATAGATAAAGTAAATTTTATAAGTAAATTTTATAAGTTTAGTCCGATGAAATAGTATTAAATACATTTCATAGAGTACGTAGGTCTAAATCAAATTTGAATGAAATAATTCATTTCTTTATATTCTAAAATCGGAAGATGACACCATGAACTGTAAACAATTGGCATGTGACGTCACTGTTTTATGCGTTCTTGTTCACAACTATAAACCTTTTTCCTGTAGCATAATTAAAATTGTTTTTCTACATTCGTATTCGTATTTATTTTTTGTTTTTCTTCTTTAAATAAAATTGTGTTTATACATTTAAAACATCTAACATATTATTTTCAACCAAAGTCCGTAGCAAGTTCTCCATATATCGCTGCAGATTTTGATGTTATATCCGGCGAAAATAGAGAGAGAGAGAGAGAGAGAGAGAGAGAGAGAGAGAGAGAGAGAGAGAGAGAGAGAGAGAGAGAGAGAGAGAGAGAAGTGTGCTTATGGGCTTTTATATATTAGGATTCGAGAACGTTTAGGGGAGATTACTCCCGGTTTATTTACTTTCTCGTATATACAGAGTATAGAGAAAGTATTGTAATCGTGAAAAAAAAATCGAGATTTTTACAAATCTCGATGTTTTAAACCTACCTGAGTCGGAAAAACGTAATTTTGCAATCTTGTCCGTATCTCTGTGTGTGTATGTGTGTGTGTGTATGTATGTGTGTCTGTATACACGATAACGTGAGTACCGTTACAGCTAGGTTGATGAAGTTTTATATATAATTATTATATCAAATTTGTAGATTCCTATCAATTTTTCAGCGATTTCCAATAACCGGAAGTGGAACTTTTTCTACTTTCAAAAGCCTAAAACTTGATTACTATTTCAGATAGATAAATGAAATTTCACATATAAGTAAAATATATAATTCTCCGCCTTCTATCAATTTTTGAGTAATTTGCGTCGACCGGAAGTAGAAATTTACGCTATTTCCGATTCCTAAAAAAGCGCATGTGAATTTATAAAGTACTGATAATATCCTGCACTATCATGCACAGTTTGTTTGGCGTTTACTTGGTGTGCAATTATTTTTTCTACGATATTCTATTCTACGAGATAAATGGCCCGTTGAGGAAGGATACAACGGACGCTAGTTACATAGTGCTGTCTCTTTTCTCTAAACTCAAACCAAAACCAAAATCACCACCTTAATTCAATTTAACCGGAAACGAAAAATGACATTGAAAACGGATTTTTATCCAGAATCGGTACTTTAATAGGATTTAAGCTTGATCTCTACGTAGTTACTGCACATTGATACTAAATATAGTTGCAGCCATACTCCTAAACCTTGCAACTAATCTCAATCATGACAAAAGTCGCATTTAGAGTTTCTTTTAAGCGACTCTACCTCATTTATTTGAGGAGGGGAGGGGGGGGGGGTCGGCATAGACGATCTACCGGGAGTGGGGCTTCGCCCCTACCCGATGAGATTATAAAAGGTTTAAGTAATTAATAATGGATTAAAAATAGTGTCTTTATCTAGAGTTGCTGTCCCCCGTAGAATATTCGAGAAAGTTTAGGGGAGATAATTCCCGGTTTATTTTGTAGGTAAGTTTTCGAAAATTTTCAACTTGATTATTGAGATGGTTCTAATTTTCCCGTTAAAATGAGAGTGAACAACATACTTTGTCAAGAACAACTTACTTGCAAATACCCGATCTAATAGCTACGAGGAACAAACAAACAACTCCCAAGTTTTTTTTTTATAGATATAGGTTAATTCTACAATTTATTCGTTTATTTGTTCTTTTGTTTAATTAGTCATATTCTTTGTATAAAGTTTGTGTGATAAAATTTTTCAGGTGATTACCCTTACCAATTCCTATAACTTTGAATCAGCTACCAATTTAATCATATCATTTTGTTAAAAAACCTTTATGTATAATATTTATATTTATTTCATACAATCTTACCTTTGCACAGAGTTTTAATAATCGCTCTCCCCAGTCCATAGTCAGGCTTCGTCTGATCTATCGTAAATAATTTTGCTTCTTTACATATGTCTTGTATGAGTTTTAATTTTTTTGCTTTGTCGATTGCATCATTATTTTCTTTTTCACTATCACTTTCTTCTGAATCATCTTCCTCTGAATCATCTTCTTCTGAATCATCATACTCTGAATCCCCCTTCTCTGAATCATCATCTTCTATACTATAATCATCCCAAGACGCTTGATTTTCTGTCTCTTCTGTTTGGTCGTTACCTTCAATATCAGATTTGATATTCTTTGATAAGCTTAAATGATTAGCATCATTTATTTCATTAACATTCTCAAATTCAGCACCGTGAATGCTTTTAATTTCAATTCTCGTATCATCTTCCGGTTCTTCAGTCGAATTGCGTACATCATCATTATTATCGCTCTCATTATCTTCCTTTTCATTGCTTTCACTTTCGCTGTTGTCATCGACATCCTTAACTTCAGGTGAATCGGAGTTATCTTCTGCCTTGCTTTCGTCTTGAATATCATTATTCTGCTGTAAACGCATATTAAAAGAATTATGAGTTACATAATATAGAGAAATAGAGATTAATAAAACTGATCACATAACAGTGCAACAATTTTGCGCTTAACTTTTTATTAAAATTGCAAAATAACCAGTTTTACCTATAAAGAGTTTAGCAAACAAATAATAATTTAAACATCTTTATTTTGAATATCAGTACAGCAGGGCCAGATTATTCCACAAAACGTGGAAAACATATTTTTTTATTAGAGCAACACCAAAAATACAAACAGACACGACGTCATGATGAAGCTTTACTTATCATACAGCAGTTATTCTTAGTTATATTATTTTGACTTTTTCCGTTAACAAACACCTAAGCACTGTTTCACAAAACTGCATTTTTTAAATATCGCAATTTAATTTTCTGTCTAATTTATTTCATTTTAGTTTGTTACTTACTAATTTTTCACTTTCTTTTTCTTTTTTCTTTACCTTCTTTTTAATCATCTCTATAATGGTATCATCTGTAAGCTTCCTAGATTAAAAAAAAAATTCTCAATACATGGCGTGCAGTCAACAAACAGAAAAGAAGATTACATTTAGACAGTAACAATCCAAATAGAAAATTTGGTAAGTTTTGAGTTTTAGTTTGTTTTCGTTTTCGTTTTGGTTTTGGTTTTAGTTTTGGTTTTGGTTTTCTGTTTTGGTCTTTTGTTTTGGCTTTGGCTGTGACTGTAGCTGTAGGTTTAACTTCAACTTTAACTAATAATTGCTTACTTTCTCTGTTTGAAGAGACTCATCACAGTTGAGAGCACATCGGCAATACCGCCCGAATCCTATTAGTAAAATGAATAAATTGTAAGCACCACTTACATGGGTTTCTAGAATTTTAGCCATATACCTTACCAATGATAAAAGTGCGGTAAATAAAAATGTACAACTCTCCGTTATTAACCACAATCTATGTTAAATAACGCAGTGTTTCTTTCTGGCATTTTTCCGGGAGGGCACTAGAAATTTTCGTGGGGTGTATACTGGTTAAACAGAATACATTCTATACAAATGATATTTTTTTTCTTTTGTTCGGGTGTGGGGTGACAGTAGACTTGATTGAAAAAAAGGGGGGGGGGGCTGTTTCTTAACCCCCCCCCCCCCTCCACCCTTAGAAAATCCAGAGGAAACTCTGAGGTAATGTGAAACAAGAAATGAGTTTACAGTGTTCTACATAATATGGTGTAGATATGGTGAATATTTATGTCTATATGTCGAAACTACATGCTTACGCAAAGTTTACTATTAGATTTTCCTATACAAAACTTTCTTGTTAAATGGTGGGAAAATACATAATAGTTTGCGCATTAGTTTTATAAATACGATTTGGTGTTTATAGTTGATTCAGCTTAAAATGATGGCGTCATAGATGATCACTGGATCTTTATTATATATTTTAAATATTGTTTATGATTCCAGCGTGCTTGTATTTCTTTCATATATTTTGTAGGGTGCGGACTTTTATTCCCTAATTGTATCATATATTTATTGATATATACATTTGAAGCTAAGTGGTCAGATGCTGGTTAGGGAACTTTCCGGCGCCACAGGTGCTGCGACTTCGGCAAAAAGAACACAGGGCTGAGGGGGGGGGGGGGGGGGGAGGGGGCACAGAGTACATGACGGGTTGGTGAAAACATTACATTATACTTTAAATAAAAAAATAACAATCATAACCTCAATACCTCCTGATAAATCGTAAGGTCCTAGAATGACCCCCCCCCCCCCCCCAGAGGGTATAAAAACGTAGTTACCATCGGAAAAACCTGAAAAGGGCTGTTTAAACTTACCAGAGGCTGTTTTTCTTATATATAAATTGCATATTTGTTTGAAAAATAGTCTAATTTTAAAAACATTTTGTGTAAAACATAAGCTCAGTACATCTGGCTAATTTTTTTAATGGGCCTCGTTAATTTACTCGGCCATATAGGGAAATAATGTATCAGACTCTACACAGTCGCCTAAGGCTAAAAACTGACCGCGAGTGGATCCCTATTTATATAATATAACCTACATACCGAATAACATTCCTAAAGCTAACATCGTCAGATAATTCGTGAAATCGAAGAACAATATTTAGTATTTTTTAGAGTAAATATTTCAATACAGGTTAAACTATGTATCACTTTTTAATCGTAGAAATCAACTAACATAGTTAAGACAACAAGATTATTTATTTTTATTTTCAACAAAGGGGTCGTCCATAAATGACGTCACACTCGTTGGAGGGAGGGGGGGGGGTCCGATTTTGTGACGGTGTGTGATGAGGGGGGTGGGATGAGATGCTACAAACTACCCTCTAAACTAAGATCATCCACGTTTTTTCTAAAACTGTTATTGTTTTTAAAAAGGATAATGTATTTTAAGAGGAATAATATTGGAGTCGAGTAACGTTAGTGTTAGGAAACGTAAATCTACACACTGTAATTATAAAACGTCTTTTCCGGACCGTCGCCCACACACGGGTGCCAGGATGGGTCGCTAAGCCTCTGTCCTACTTATGCTGGGGTCATTGAATCGAATGAACTCTTTCTGCCCCATGTGTCATGGGCACAAACGTGGAATTATTAGTTTAATACAGACGAAATATGATTTGTTAATTATATTTTCAAACATAAACGTTGTATCTGGTACAGTGCATTTCGACATAAAAGCATAATAAATACTTTGCTATAAAGGATATAATGTTTTGTAAACATTTTATACTTACCTAATTTTTTTACTTACATTTACTACAATGACTGTTCGATAACTATTTTCTGCAGTATTTAATTTGTGTGTTTCAAGCTTTTGAAGAATCCCCTTATCTCCACCATATATCAATATTATCTCAAAGCTATTAAGATCTAGCCGGGAAAGAAAATCTGTTATTACAGTTATATATCTATCTATCTAAATATATATGCATATATATATATACTAGCTGCATCCCGTGCTCCGCCACGGTAAATCTTTTTTAAATGTACCAACTTGGGAAAAGAACAAAACTAAATACAACACAAACGAACGCAAAAAAACAACGAAAAAACAAACACAACACTCATAACATAAACACAATTTAAATGCAATCATAAAGGCAAATTGCTCACAGTCTAGCCCGTAGCGCCAAATCGCGCCCTTTCCGGTGATTTGCAACCCCCTCAAACTTTCGATTTGCACCCCTTCCACCCACCCGTCCTAAAACTTTCGATTTCCACCCCCCCCCCCTCGCAAATTTTTTCCAACCCACTTCGGCGCCCCTTAAGGTCGGCACCCGGGGACATATGCCCCCCCCCCTCGCTACGCCTCTCCTATAAAACCCGAAAGATAGAATAATAATTAGAAAACAGTATAAATAATAGACAGTATTTAAAATACCGTGTTTTACCTACACTATTTCACTTTATTCATTCACGCATTTTTTTCCAGTACTTTAAATTTTAAAAATTTACAATAGAGTTTCATAACTAAAACCATTGCGCACCTAATGAACGTGATGACGCGTCTATAATAGTGCTGAATAGTTGATTAAAAATTATAAGTAATAAACAGTAAGGCCTACATTCAGTGAAAAAAATAAATAAAAGATTGCCTTTTATCAATCCATGCTAATTATAATTTTCTAACAATAATTTCCTCTTACACATCCGATATAATTTGCATTCACATTTTGCTAATTATATTATTGCAACACTAATTCCTTCTATGACGAACGTATATTTGCATTGACATTTTTTATTAGCGTGAGTTTAATGTATTTTTAAATTACCTCCTTTGTCAAAATTAGAAAAAAAGAGTTAAATTAATTTGATTTTTCTACCGTACTGTTATTATGTTATTAAAATGTATCCACTTTTTCTAGGAATATTAACGAAAACTGTATTTGACATTGATCCTTTTAATATGTTTTAGCAATGTGCGTGTATTTAATATTCTCTTTACGTTATGCAAAATAGTACAAACAGTGGAAATTATAAAATAGCTCTATGCCACTATATAAACAAACCCAACTCTAATACTTATAATAAGACACTGAGGTGCACTGAAAAGCACTGCGTGGTGCGAATGTTTACTTTTATGGTTCCAAAATCTATAGCGATGACGGAAGGAAGGAAGGACTGACACACTACTTGCCCGCTTATATTATACTAGCTGCATCCCGTGCTCCGCCACGGTAAATCTTTTTTAAATGTACCAACAGAACAAAACTAAACGCAAAACAAACGAACGCAAAAAAAAAAAAAAAAAAAAAAAAAAAAAAAAACAAACGAAAAAACAAACACAACACTCATAACATAAACACAATTTAAATGCAATCATAAAGGCATATTGCTCACAGTCTAGCCCGTAGCGCCAAATCGCGCCCTTTCCGGTGATTTGCACCCCCCTCAAACTTTCGATTTGCACCCCTTCCCCCCCCCCCCCGCCCTAAAACTTTCGATTTCCACCCCCCCCCCCCTCGCAAATTTTTTCCAACCCACTTTGGCGCCCCCTAAGGTCGGCACCCGGGGACATATGCCCCCCCCCTCTCTACGCCTCTCCTATAAAACCCGAAAGATAGAATAATAATTAGAAAACAGTATAAATAATAGGCAGTATCTATAATATATACAATATTTCACTTTATCCATTCACGCATTTTTTTTCCAGTACTTTAAATTTTAAAAATTTACAATAGAGTTTCATAACTAAAACCATTGCGCACCTAATGAAGGTGATGACGCGTCTATATTAGTGCTGAATAGTTGATTAAAAATTATAAGTAATAAACAGTAGGGCCTACATTCAGTGAATAAAATAAATAAAAGATTGCCTTTTATCAATCCATGCTAATTATAATTTTCTAATTAAAATTTCCTCTTACACATCCGAATAATTTGCATTAACATTTTGCTAATTATATTATTGCAACACTAATTCCTTCTATGACGAACGTATATTTGCATTCACATTTTTTATTAGCGTGAGTTTAATGTATTTTTAAATTACCTCCTTTGTCAAAATTAGAAAAGAGTTAAATTAATTTGATTTTTTCTATCGTACTGTTATTATGTTATTAAAATGTATCCACTTTTTCTAGGAATATAAACGAAAATGATATTTGACATTGATCCTTTTAATATGTTTTAGCAATGTGCGTGTATTTAATATTTTCTTTAAGTTATGCAAAAGAGTAAACACAGTGGCAATTATAAAATAGCTCTATGTCGTTATATAAACAAACCCTACTCTATTACTTATAATAAGACACTGCGGTGCACTGAAAAGCACAGCATGGTGCGATGTTTACTTTTATGGTTCCAAATGCTATAGCGATGACGGAAGGAAGGAAGGAAGGAAGGAAGGAAGGAAGGAAGGACTGACACACGCTCAGCCCGCTTATATTATAGATACTAGCTGCATCCCGTGCTCCGCCACGGTAAATCTTTTTTAAATGTACCAACTTGGGAACAGAACAAAACTAAACACACCAGAAACGAACGCAAAAAAAAAAAAAA